GCCAACTATAGGCTCCGGCCGGCGCACCCCTGCCTCCTCGGAGGCGGCTCGCCGCCGAGCGGTGGGCCGCACCTGGGGTGGGGGGGTCGCGCCGGCTCCCAATTGCAGAGCTCCGGCCGCGGGAGACCCGCGCGCGGCGCAGCAGGAGGAGGAGGAGGAGGAGGAGGAGGAGGAGGAGGAGGAGGAGGAGGAGGAGGAGGAGGAGGAGGAGGAGGAGGAGGAGGAGGAGGAGGAGGAGGAGGACGAGGAGGAGTAGGATGGCGCTGAGGAGGAGGAGGAAGAGGAGGAGGAGGGGGAGGAGTAGGAGTAGGAGTAGGAGTAGGAGTAGGAGTAGGAGTAGGAGTAGGAGTAGGATAATGAGTAGGAGTAGAAGTAGGAGTAGGAGTAGGATGAGTAGGAGTAGGAGTAGGAGTAGGAGTAGGAGTCAAGCTAGCCAGCTCGAGCGAGTCAAGCATGGCATGCCCAGGTCCCCACCCGCACCCCCACACATAAGAAGCAAAGCTGGCCAACTGGGGGCCGAAAGTCACACCGGCCAGCCGCGTGTTTGGTACAGTGATGCGGCCGCGATGGCGGTTGCGACGGGAACTGGCGAGCGCGTGTTGAACGCCGCGCACGCATTGCCAGACGAGTCGAGAATGGCCCGTCACACCGCAGGAAGCCAGAGGTGGCCGTGTCGAGAACGGCCCGGTAAGCCGGGTCCCATTCCTGCCATGCATTTTGCGACGTGGACGACAGGACGTCCATGCGACGGTGCTAATGACGGCGACGACTCTAGAAGGATTTGAGCATGCGCTCGCGGCGACGCGCGCGCATGTCGCCCGCGTGGTATTTTTTGCACAGGATTCGCGGCCTGGGTGCATGACAGAGCATCGCGAGTGCACCGCGCGATGACGCGAAATCGCTGGATTTGACAGAATTCTTAAGACTCCTATGGTTTTCCTATGATTTCAGCAAGAGAGCCCGGGCGGGAAATTTGTACAATTTTTGTGAAAAAAAAAACATTGGGTTTTGATGTTTTTATGTTGAAATGCTTGCAAACACACGGTGTTCGGTAGGATTATGACATGAACGCGCGCGTGTGCTCTTTGTAGTTTTTTTTGCAATGGATTATCGCCGTGGACGACAGGACGTCCATGTCGAGAGGAAAAAATAAGAAAAATATTGATTTTGTATTGTTTTACAGGTTAGGATGGGACCACCCGGATGCGGCCCCTAATGGCCGGCCTGAGGGGGGAGTAGGAGTATATTCTAATAAGGAATAAGGATAGGAGTAGGAGGAGGAGGAGGAGAAGGAGGAGGAGGAGCAGGAGGGGGAGGAGGAGGAGAATCAGGAAGAGGAGGAGGGAGAATCAGGGACGGGAGGAGTAGGAGTAGGAGTAGAGTAGTAGGGAGTAGGAGAGGAGGAGAGTAGGATTAGGAGGAGGGACGAGGAGGAAGAGGAGGAGGAGGAAGGAGAATCACGGCGGGGGAGGAGAGTACGTACAAAGAGGAGGAGGAGGAGAGGAGAGGAGGAGGAGGAGGAGGAGGAGGAGGAGGAGGAGGCGTCGCGACGCGTCAAATGTGGGAGCTCTGGGCTCGCGAGGCGTCGCGACGCGTCAACTCGACCGCAAGGCTCCGCACTCTCGTTGTGGCCGGGAGCGGCGAGCGGGACGGGGGACCAATAGGCATTGTGCCCCGCGGAGGTGCTCTGGGGAAGCTCTCTCGACCCAGACGCCTCCTCCTCCTCTTCCTCCTCCTCCTCCTGCTCCCTCCTCCTCCGCCTCCTCCTCTCCTCCTCCTCTCCTCCTCCTCCCTCCTCCCCCATCCTCCTCCTCCTTCTTCTCCTTTTCCTATTGCTCCTCCTCCTCCTCCTGTTCTCCCCTCTCCTCCTGGATCCTCCTCCTCCTCCTGTTCCTCCTCCTTCCTCCTCCTCCTCCTCTCTTCTCTCCTCCTCCTCCTCCTTCCTCCTGGCTCCTCCTCCTCCGCCTCCTCCTCCTCCTCCCTCCGCCTCCTCCTCCTCCTCCTCCTCCTCCTCCGTAGCCATTTTGACTCAAGGTGCTGTCCTGGGGGGCTGGTCAGCCTCCAGGCGAAAGGGATACCGCTGGACCGCGGCTTGCTTCCATATTTCGGGCTTATTGTGAGCCTTCACCCGTGCCTGTCCGCCCAGGTGCGGTTGGCGTAATCTGTGTGAGCTCCTGGCGGAGCAACATCTTGTGCCGGCTATGGCGTGGAAGTATAACACACCGTGGTACGACGCGAAGAAGAAGAAGAAGGGGGATTCTTGGTCGCAGCGGAACGGAGGAGGCAGACGCCGTGGGCGCGACACCTACTCCGTCTGCTCAGCATGCGGCCACTGGGAGTACGACCGCCACGGCAACCGGTCGTGCAGCAAGTGTGGCGGCAGCTACCACTGCGATCTTCCTCATCATGCTGATGGGCCTGATGATTGCGCTGCCCTCGCTGCTCATCTTCAAAAGTTGGTTGCGCGTTTCCCCTCCATGGCCCAGGTGCTCACGGCAGCCGGGGCCCAGGCCTCCGTGGCCCCTGCGGCCGCCGTGGCCGAGCCTCGCCCGCCTGCGACAGCCAGCGAGATGGACAAGAAGGTGGCCGCTCGTCGCACTGATTTGTCGAAGGAGGTCGAGGCAGCGTCGAAGAAGGAGCGCATTTGCCAGTCCGAGGTCGAGAACTGGCTGGCCAGCGTGTTGCGGCATTGCGAGGCCCTTCAGCAGGCTGACCGGGCCTACGCCGAGTCGGTGGAGCGGCTCACGGAGGCGAAGGCGCGCTCTGCTGCGGCGCTGGCCGCGAAGGATGGCTTCAGCGAGGAGGCCTACCGCGCTGGGCTTCGTGAGGAGGAGCGCGCCGAGGCTGCCGCGGCGGCCCGCGCAGCGGAGGAGGCCCGTGCCGCTGCCCCCCAGGCTGTGCCTGGGGCCGCCCCTCCTGGCCAGGCGGGTTTGCGCCCCCCGCCTGGCGGTTCCCCCGCGCCCGCCCCTGGCGCCGGCCATGGGGAACCATGAGCGCGTGCGGCAGGCGGCGGCTTGGGGGCTGCTGGCGGCCCACCGGGGGCCTCTGCCGGGCCTGCCGCGCCGGGCCTCACGGCTCTTGGCGGCATCGATGGGAGTTGGATCCAGGAGCACCCCCACAAGGTCTCTGAAGAAGGCCCTGTTGCTTTCCACGGCCGCTCCCACCTCTCCCCGGAGCAGTGGCGGGAGATGCGGAAGATGGCCATTCAGCAGCGGGCCGAGGTGGAGATGGAGGCCGAGATGACTTCCGATGCTGGCAGTGATCTTTGTGATCGCCATCTTCCTGAAGGTGAGCTTGGTGAGCTGCGTGAGCTTCGCAGGCCTTGATGGCCCCGCCTCCGTGCGTTACGGCGAGCTCGTCAGCAAGCAGGCGGTGCAGCGCGCCGCCAAGAAGGCCAAGGTGATTGTACAGCATCAGAACTCCCACACGTTTGCCGCTTTCTGTGAGGCGGCGGCCGCCCAGCTCGGTGCGATCCCTGAGGCGCCGGCCGGTGGAGCCGCGCAGGCGCCTCAGCAGCCTGTTTAGCAGCCTGCCGAGTGCAGGCCGCCGCGCGCGTGATCGGTCTCGTTCGTCCGATCTTAAGTTCCTATTCATGAATGTCACGAGTTGGTCTGATATCACTAAGGGATTTCTTTCCACTCGTGCCTCAGAGGCGGATGCTGTGTTCGTCGCCGAGCACCATCTCCGTGCTGAGGGGGTGGCTAAGGCTAAGAAGGACGTGAGGGTGATGGGCTGGGACCCGTACTTTCAAGATGTTGTTGACTCTCCAGGTGGTGGCACACATGGGGGGTTGCTTGTTTTGCGCAGAACGGTTTACTCTTCCAGCGATTTTTGGGCGTGGTCTCCCGAGTGGTCCAGGTTGGCTCTGGCAATTGCTGGTTCTTTTTGGAGCTTAAGTTGCATGGTTACTCTATGGCCGTGGGCGTCATCTACTTGGTGGCCTCGCTGGGGGCCGTAGGCGAGAACCTTGTCCGCTTGAAGCAAATCTCGGACTTCGTGAGTTGCCTGAGTATTTCCTGGGTCCTCCACGGGGACTTCAATATGCATCCTGGTCTCCTGTGCGACTCTGGTTTCTTGGGCCTTACACGGTCCCGTGCTGTTGTCCCTGCTAATGTTGAGTTTACGTGTAGCTTGGGATGCACCATGATTGATTACGTTGCGTGTTCGTGTAACCTGGCTCCGTACGTGCGTGTGCGGGCCATCCCTGGTTCGCCTTTCAAGACACATGTATGCTTGCACGTTCGCATTCCCGCTGATGTGACTACCCAAGAAATTAGTCGTCGTTCTCGTGCTGCTGCGCTGCCGGCGGCTTTTGGTCCCGATCATCTGTGGCCGCATTATCTTGACTTGGCGTGTAAACACGGCTTTGAATTTCAGATCCCGGCCCACGTTGACGTTCCTCTCTGAAGATTACGCACTGTGGTCACGGGCTGCTGAGATGATATATGTTTCGCGGGGATGCGCTTTCCTGGAGGATCTTGATGCTGTTTTAGGACATGGCAGTTCTATTAGGCGGTTCTCGGGGTCCCTGCGGAGGCGAGGCTCGTGCAAGAAAGCCTTCAATTCCCCGTACTTGTGTTTTTGGTCTATGGTCTACTCCCGGCTTTACGAGTATTGGCGGGCAATTCGGTGCGGTAGCTGGTCTGTGCATTCTCGGCGTCTCCGCTCTCTCATCATCTCCCAGGCATGCAAAGTGTATTCTTTCTGGAGCCGCTCGCAGGTCCGCTGGATGTCCAGCGCTGGCATGACGACCTCATTTCTGTGTCCGCTGTCGCTGATGCAGTTCGAGTGTTGATTGATCGCGCAGATGATGTATGCACGGCAGCTGTTTCTAAAGTTCGTGCTGCCAATCTGTCAGGTGTTAAGAGGTGGCTCCAGGCAGCTTGCCTGGCGGAGGTAGTAAGGTTCATGCATGGCTAAAGGCAGAAGATAAGCTCAGCGTCGAATACCTTGTCGCACCCGATGGTGTCCGACAGACTCCCAGCAGCATGATGGAGTACCGGAAGGAGTTTTGGAGTGCCCTCTGGACCCCCACTTCGGACCATCTGAAGCTCCTGAATGAGACCCTGGATGAACTTCGGGCCGAAGCCCAGCTGGCGCTCCTGGGGGTTCCTGAGTTTACTCCCACAGATGTTGTGCAGGCTGCTTTGAGATTTTCTGGAACGACGGCGGTTGGGGTTGATCAGTGGTCTCCGCGCAGTTTCCTGGACCTGCCTGGCCAAGCCTTGTCCTCCCTCGCTGCCATGTTCAACCAGTGCGAGAAGGTGATGGCCTTTCCCCAGCAATGTTATTTGAATGTCATGGCGTTGCTTCCGAAATCTGAGAAAGATGAGCGTGCTATTTCTAAATGTTCGACAATGTACCGGATGTACGTGCGCATGCGAGGTGATGATGTGGACGCTTGGAGTGCAGCACACACTGACTTCTGGGATAGCGCAGTCAATGGATCATCTGCCCTCCAGGCCGCCCTGCTTCGCGAATTGTGCCACGAAGTCACTGGCACCCCTTGGGTTTGATTATGCTTCTCTTCATTGGGATATGGAGACATTCTTCGACCTTGTCATTCCGTCGCTGTTGGTTCAGCTCGCTCTTAAGGTTGGCTACCCTCCTCACTTGCTCTACTTCGGTGTCGTGTTCCATACCTGCCCTAGACTGCTCGAAGTCTCTGGTACGACTTCTGATGTGATTTCTACGGGTCGTTCCATTTTGGCGGGCTGCGGACAGTCGATGCCATGGGTGAAAACATACTTACATGATGTACTCGATCGTGCGCACCGGAGGTTGCCAGTTGTTCCGATTCGGTCGTATGTCGATGATATTAATCAATCTGTTCAGGGCTCTCGCCGTTACGTGGTCAGCTCCCTTCCTGGGGCAGCGGCGGCATTGTTCAAGGATGTTCAGTCCCTCGGTTGCATCATCTCGGCCAAGTCTGCAGCAGTTGCTTCCTCTGCTGATCTTGCGCGCGATTTAGGTGCAGCTTTCGGGTACGAGCGTGTTCCAGTGAAGTTTACTACCCAGGTAAAGGACTTAAAGGTGATGACGACGGCAGGTAAGCGACGGTGCACATCGAAAGTTAAGCTGCGACGACGTACTGCCTTCCGACGCTCTCGTGAGCTCGCTTACCTTGCCCGTCTATGTGGTGAAACTAAAAAGATCTACAAACCGGGGATGCTCTCGATGGGATCTTGGAGTCATTCCGTGGTCGGCCTCACAATGGCAGACGTTCAGAGTTTCAGGTCCCCTCGGCCCAATGCTCGGGCCATTGGAGTCCGGGAGCGTGCACGACCACGGTGTTGAGTGTTGGTGATCAACATGCTGATGATCCTGCCTTCCGTATGCGTAAGGGGCAGCTTCAGGCTCTTGCTGGTGCGTGGCATTGTCTGTCTCCTGGTCAGCGTGTGGGTGTGCAGAGGACCTGGACCAAGCAGCGTGATAGGCTACTCTGGTTGGATGCGCCGCGTCGATGGCGCACTGTCCGTGGTCCCATTGCTGCCACGGTGTGCACTCTGCTCGATCTTGAATGGGGCCCTGACTCCATTACCTCATGGTCTACGCCGGTGGGAGTGTTGAGCATTGAGGCTCGTGATTTTCCATTCCACCTCACGATTGCTGTGCAGAGTACGTTGGATCGTATGTTGTGGGGTAAGGCGTCGAATCAGTTTTGTGGGGATGGTCTTGGAAGGGGGTGCTGACCTTGCCGTATTCAGGAGTATGCATGCGAAGTTGTTTAAAGATGGTAGTTATTATGATGCTGCCCTACTCTGCTGCATTGTTTCTGGCGGCACGTGGCCTGAGGCTAGGCTTCAGGACGCGGGGTACTTGACTGATGGCATGTGCCCTCGGTGTGGCGTCGCCCGTGAGACGACGCTACACCGTGTCTGGGGCTGCTCTTCCAACGATCATATTGACTCGGTCCACTTGCTCAGGTCCCGGGAGCTCGTCCAGACAGCCTTACATGATGAGCACGAACGTTCAGCATTTTGGAACAGAGGTATTCCCACTCTTGCTGCTGCTGTCGCCCCTCTACCTCTCCCGATGGATGTGAAGCAGGCCTGGGGCCTGTTCTCGGATGGACGTGCGGTACGTGGCGGCAGATTTGGGCTCGACGGGTCAGGAGGGAAGTGGGCTTAGGATCATCGTCTTCGTCGTTGTGGTTGGGCGGTCGTTCAGCTGGACGAGGCTAGCGTCGACGAACTTGAGTTTCGATGTGATGCTATTCTGGCGGGGACTCTTCCTACTCGGACTCAGTCGAGCCCGCGCTCGGAGTTGGTTGCATTGATTATGCTGCTTACTTTCACGACGGGCGACGTAGTTGCATATTCTGATTATCTTCCTCTTGTTGGGGGCCTTAGACGGGATCGATCTTGGGTGGCCAAATCCTCCCCGATGCTGGACCTCTGGGTCCAAATCTGGGACCTCCTCGACGCTCGTGAGGGCCGTGTCGAAGTGATCTGGACCAAAGCTCATTCAAGTCGTAGTGCCCGTGAGGCTTGGGGCATCTCTGAGGTTGAGTTGTTCTTGAATGTTTGTGCTGATTTCTTTGCTGGGAAGGCTGCCGCCTTAGGTGAGATTCCTGAGGAGCATGTTCAGGTTTTGCACGAGGTTGATGATATGGCCTTGTGCGTCTTGATCGTCTTCTGGTTGTGACCCGAGAGGTCAGTCTGACCTGCAGGCGCTTGCAGTCTGATCGCGTTGGTCGCCCCCCGCCCCGGCCTCCTGCTGTCCCATCTTATTTCACGCGCAAGCAGAGACTGATCGCTGCAGGTCACGCCCCTCGGACGCATGGAACCCGATTTGTGTGCACGGTTTGTCGCCGCACCTTTGATGCTACTCGCGGTCAGGTCTGCAACTTCCGGCTGGGTAGATGCCTGGGGGCGCGCGAGGCGAGACCGCAGGTTGGGCGCGAATCTGTAATTGCGCATCCTGCGGCTATGAGGGCCCATTCCTCGCACGATTTGTCGGTTCTCAGGGGCGTTCTGCCGAGCGTGCGGGCGATATTGTGTCTCCACCACTCAGCTCCTGAGCGAAGAGTGTCATGTTGCGAAGGCCCGCGCTGAAGGCAGGCCGTCTGTTGGCCCCACAAAAGCTGGTGCTAGCGTATTGTCTCGCCTCGCGCGAGGGTTGTCCCCAAAGAGTGCCATGTGTTCTCCTTTGCTGTAATTGCATGCTGTGCTGCCGAGTCCTGGCCAGATCAGGGGTGCTCATATGGTCCAGACCAGACCAAGGTCCTCCTCCTCCTCCTCCTCCTCCTCCTCCTCCTCCTCCTGCGATGCAGAGCCGCTGGCAGGAAGCTCGAGCACGGGCAGCAGCGCACCGGCCGATGAGGCTGCGTGTGCGAGAAGGCGGTGGGAGCATTCAAGAAAATTGGAGGCCTTGAAATTGACACCAACACCAACACAGGGGGCTGCCTCCGAAGGGGGAAGATGATCCTAGATTTCGGTGTTGGTGGTAAGATTTCGGCCACCTTGGAAGCCAGAATA